GAGAAGAAAATTATACATGTTGCTCAAAGAAGATAACGAATTTTTTGAGGATTTTCAGGGTCGGAATGGAGATAATTTCGTAGGATTTTAGCGCAGAAATGAGATGAGACTGAATGCTTTGTGTGTGAAGGTTGAAAAAAAAAAAAGAAAAAGAGAGGTTGGCTTTGTTTAAAAGTTCTGAGTTTAGGGTTTAAGGTTTAAGGTTTAATATTTAAGGTTTAAGATTTAAGCCAAGAGAATGAGCAAGTCGAGAGAAGAAAGGCTGAGAGGATGAAGAAAGTTGTGTGTGCCCTGTGGGTGTGTATGGTCACCAGAAAAGAAAACTGAGGGTTCGTTTCTCTCTCTCGTACAAACACGAAAACTGGATTCAGATAAAACAAAAGGTATTTTTGCTTTTAGGTTCCTCTCTCTATCTTCACGTACACAGTAAAAAATATATATATTTATTTTCTTTTAGTTTTATTCTCAATAGATTACCTTGTACATGTTTCAAATATAATGACTTTAACTTTGACTTAGACTTTGACCTATGATTTTTTTTCTACACTGAAAGATTCTTCACATAAAATTCAGTGTTCTGTTTTTTTTTTAGTTATTTATTTGTTTGTTATTATTTTGCTTGGTCGTACATCTATTAGCTTAGTATATCATTATTGATTCATGTGAATTAATTTGGTAATTACCTTAATTTACACAATTTAAATATTATAATGTCATGTTTTTTTATCATGTATGACTGCTTAGAATTTACGAGCTTATATAATACTCACTTCAAATATAATAATGTCATGTTTTTTTTTTTATCATGAACAGATATTTTGAAACGAATTCTTTCCATTCTTCTAGGTCAACTTTTCCATCATGTAATACTCGAGCTAGGAAAATTGGCATGAGATAAATTTTGTCAATTTAAAGTTGTATAAAAAATAAAATAAAATATATTTTATAAATTAATTTAATAAAAATTTTGTTTTATTTGAAAAAAATAAATTAGAGATGAGATTGAAAATAATTTTAGTAAAAATAGGTGAAAATTTGGATTTGAGTGGTGTTTTTAAAAGAAAAATCAGAAACATTAGATCAGAACACAATTTTAGAAAATTTTACCACGCAAGACTGCCCAGTCAGCAACCTCGACGAATCGGAACGAGCCGCATGGCAAGACACGCTGACTAGGTGCCACGCGGGAGGCTATGCTGGCGATCCGCGTGCCGCACGATCGGATGACCCAGAAGCCTTCACGCGCGTGTGAATGGTCCGGATTTGTTCCCTCCTCATGCGCGATCGGACGGTTGCGATCAAACATGATAAACGATTCAGATTTGTTTCCTTCTTAAGTACGATCAGACAATCGAGATCAAATACGATGAACAAACAAGATTCGTTTCCTCCTTAGGCGCGATCGAATGGTGGAGATTAAATATGATGAACGAGCCACATTAACGTGAGAGATGTATAAATATTTCGCATTACACAGAACAAAAAATCTAGCCGCCAGCCCTTGCCGGAGAAGAAGAACCAGTCGCCGGAGAAAGAAGCTAACCGCTGCCCGCTGCCGCACCGGAACCACCTTCGACCACTCAAAAAGGTAAAATTCTCCTACCTGCTCGGAATTCGATTCCGAGCACCTCTGTGGCTATATCGGAGTAAAGCAAATGGCAGGTGAGCCGGAAACCACATGCAAAACCCGCAACTGCCTCCGATGAGTCCCTTCCCGTTTCTCGTTCCGTACGATTTTTCTATCGTTGTGTTCATCATTCTATTTTATACAGGTTGACGAAGAAAAACTTCCAGCTGTGAAGGTGAGGCGATGGAGCCGCCGTACTGAAAACTCCACCACTGGTAGGTTTCCGTTTTCTAATTTTTTTGTCCAACCAATGCCCCATAACATATGTTTTTAGAAGAATATGTATAAGGCGGCCAAAACTGGCCAAAAACGGCTAAGTCGAGGCAGATTGCCACCGCGGACGGTGGTGTTGTCGTTGGAGCACGGCGGTGCCGCTGTGCCGGAACCCCAAAATCTGTCGAAAAAATAATTTTTAACACTGATTTTAGATTTTGGGGGTATTTTTAGGTACGTGAAGCGTGTTTTAATCTCCGCATAAAAAATCAGAAAATTCAATGATCATTAGTAGGCACAGTAGAAAGTTTGGTATTTCGGACACCGATTCGGGTAAGAATCTCTCACCTTACTCTCTGTTATGGAATTGAAGTTTAATAAACGATAATATAGTATTTTGTGTAATTTAGAAAACTTCGAGAATAATGACATGTTACTAATTGAGCCGAAACTGGTTAGTTTTTTATTATTTGTCATGTTTAACTAATTGTTTAGTTTTATAGCTTTAAATGCATGATAATATATTAAAATTGTTAAATGATTCAGTTGTGTTTCCTTGATGCATGTATTGTTTGTCTTGCATGATTTACGGTTAATTTGTGAAACTAAAAATTAAAATAGAAACAAAAATTGATTGGTTAATTGAATTAATTAATGATTGTCTTACTTGATATCCTGGGAGATGATGGACAGACCGGATATATAAAAAATCATACCGTGAACATTATCTCATACTGGATATGGTATCGAGGGATGAAATTTTTAATGCTCATACCGGACGGGGTATGAGGACGGTCGGTTAATTGATAACGTTAGATATTGGTTCACGCGTAGTGAGACATCCTTATGGACCTCTAGGGATACCAGTAAGCAAATAAAAATGGAAAGTCATTGTTCTTACTTACTTAAATATGTAATCATAATGTTATTTGAGTTATTGTCTCTATATGTCGGTTTTTAAAATCTCGCAACGGTAAGTATGCAATAAATAGTTTTATTTATGATAAATGAATTTACTTAAATTAAGAGTTTTATTGGTTGTTTTTATGATTTTTACCAACATTCAGTTTCTATATCGGTGAGTAGTGTAATATTTTTACTGGGCTAATGTAGTTCACCATTTCATTAGCTATTTTAGATTAAGAGAACTAATATCAAAATCCCGATCAACAAAGGGGTTGTGAATAGTTCACTACCCGTACTCTCTTCAAATGCTATTAAAAGTCGTCATAGAATGCCCTATTATTTACTTTTTATTTGTTTCTTTAATTTTTCGATTGTTCTTTTATAGGACATTTTAGGTATTCTAAATTATTATGTAAAAAATACAAACTCTAACTCTATTATTTCACTTCCGCATTCAATTTATGATTTTATTTTCTTTTAAATTATGAGTTATTACACATCATCTTTTGTGTCAGCTTCACTGAATGTTTGTAGAGAAAAATTATAAATGAGAGTTTTTAAGTAAGTATTGTAATAAAATTTGGCCCTATGTAATTTTTTTTTCCTAAAATAAGAAAATAATAATTTATATTGATTAAATTTATGTCTATTAATATTAATATATCATATTTATTAGTACGGATATAAACAAATTTATAATAAATTTTTTTTTATAATATGTATACGAAGCATGTTGGATTAGAATGAATTTTAAAATATTAAATTTGAATATGTCTCGACTCATTATTCTCTCTTTGTTAATATGAATTCATTTAGTTGTACTTAAAAAAAAAACTTATTAGATTAAATTTAAATAAATTTAAGCATATTCAAGTGTAAAATATTTTTCCTATATCTTTTCATTTTCAAAAAATTATATCCACAGAGCATTTGTTAATAATGACTTTTACTTTGTTTTTTTTTTGTTGAAACATTAAGAGGTATAAAATGTTTTTAATTGAGTGTCATAATTATTTAAGTTTATATTTCGTTATTTTTCTTATAATAATTAATGCAATGCTTTCGTGATATTTTCGTTAATTATTATAAAAAAAATAATATTATCTATAATATAAAATTTATTAATTTATAAATATATTATAAATTAATATTGTCTTGATAAAATTACAGTAATTAAATTAAATTTCGATCAAATAAATATAATACGGTGAATAAATTTTATTTAAGTAAAATAGTTAATGAGTTAAAAAGATGATTTAATATTTTTTTTTTTAAAATGTCATGCTTTCATGAGTAATTTAACATAATTATTATTTATACTTTAATTCAAAGTCAATATTTATAAAAAATATAATATAAATATAATAAAAACATTTTAAATTATGCCAAATATTCATAATTCTAAATCTTTGATTATATTATCATAATATTATCAAATTCAAAGAGAATTACTCCAATAAAAAAAAAAATCAATGTGATGAACACTTAAAAAAACCCTAATAAAATAATTATATAATATTTAATATATATTAAAATTTGAACTACATATTTTTTTCATAAAAAAATAACAAAAAGAGAAAATAACTCTGCTGAACTCATGAAAGCTACACCAAGAAAAGCCAACCCTTTTCCCTCAGAGGCAAAAAAGAAAAACAAAAATTGAATCTTTCATCTTCAAACATCCATAATTTGGATTATTATTTTTTATTTTTGATTCAAAAAGCCAGGTTCAGTGATTCATCTTATTCAACTCAGTGTCTCAAGTACAGGTTTTCCCTAAAAGTCCAAGGACGACCCAAAAAACCTCCTTGTTTTTTTTTTTTGTTTTTCTGTAATTGATCATCATTTTCATCATCTTCCTCCTCTCGATCTTAAACACAGAACCCAATTCTGATTCCCAAATTCACTGATTCCATTTTCTCAGGAATCCGAATCCGCATCCCTTTCCGGGTAAAATCGGAATCTAGTTCCCTGGTAAAATACAAAATGTTGGAAAAATAAGGTATGGAGCTTGAAATCTGTCTCCGTCTTCTTCTTTTTTCACGGGAAAAAGGTAATAATTGGATGCAGTTTTAGTTGATTGTGATTGGATCCACTGGATTATTTCTCGTGATTGTGGGAACTTTGCTAGGGAGCTGGCTCTGTGGAGCTTCTTAGCGGGTAATCATTATTTCCCTAATTGACTTATAATCTCGTTTTAAGAATTTTTTAGGAATTTGTATTTTTAAATTCCCTGCTTGGTTGCGTAGAAAATGTCAAATGCCCGAAAGGAAACCAAGTGAAAATTAAGGAAAGGATTATCTCTTTCTTTCGTGTAAATCTCCTTCAATTGCTGAAAAAGAGGAACTCACATATTAAATTTTTGTTAATGATTTTTTTTCTTAAATTAGTGATTCTGTAATTCATTATATAATGTTAATTTAATTTTTTTGGGTGGATTGTCAATATTCTGCTGCAAAATAGGAATGCCAGCTGCTTAATTTGTAACATGTAGTTTAGTTGGGAAAATTCTGGTTCATATTGCTTTAGTATCTGATTCTTTTTAATTAATTTTTTGGTGGGGGGGGTACCTAGGTTCTGTTCTGTAGGGATTTGATAAATCTTGTAATGCAATTAGTTGAGGAGAACAAGAAGAATTTGAAGCGTTCGAGATCCCTATCGCCTTGCAATAACATGCCTTTGACTGATACCACAACTACACAGGCTCTTGATGACTGCATTCTTTTCCCACTTGAAGAGATAGTTCAATCCCCTGTGCCTGGATATGTAGCGCCCACGTCAATCAGCTTCAGTCCTGATGATAGTTTGGTGACTTATTTGTTTAGTCCCGATCACACGTTGAGTAGAAAGGTTTTTGCATTCAATCTCAAGACTGGCAAACAAGAATTGGTGTTTAGTCCACCAGATGGGGGACTCGATGAGAGTAATATATCTGAGGAAGAAAAATTAAGGAGAGAGAGGTTGAGGGAGCGAGGATTGGGAGTGACACGGTATGAATGGGTGAAGACTTGCCTGAAGAAGAAAGCAATAATGGTGCCTTTACCTGGCGGGGTTAGTTTGCTAAAACTACCTATCTTTATTATTGACAATCTATTATTAGCAATCTTTAAAACATGTTCGTTCTGTTGTAAATTTGAGAAAGTTTTCATTGAATAGATTTGGCACAATGTTAAAGATTGAAAGGCAATAGGGATCAAAGTTGATAGTAAGACATAATCATGAACGGATACAGCACATATTGCTCAGTAATTTCTTACTAGTTGAGAATATATATATATACATGTTTTTGCAACCGGATGAAGGGTACCACTGGAAGACATCTTCTTCCATGATCTCCATTAAGAGCAGGAGAAACTTTAGTGCATTATTCGATAACATTTCCTAGTCTTTAATACAAATGCCAAGTCTATCATATTCATGAGCACCAGCATGTTTTTACATTGCACAAATTCAATAGATTATAGATCCTTCATGGCGGTTCTGAGCTTTACAGTTCGTGAAATAGTTGCTTCAATTAGAAAGGCAGTGTCATTCTAGGTTGAAAATCAGTATAAATGTCTGTGTCCAAACAGTATATAGAGGTTTTAGGTAATTTTGATCTGTCAGAAGTATTTACTTAACTCTTGATTCTTTACCATAAGGGGGAAGAAGATTTGCCGGTTTCCCTTAAAGAATATGTTATATTACATGCTTTATCCATTTAGTGCATCATGTTGATTTGGTCTTCTCCCTGTGAACAGATTTATTTGCAGGAGCTTGCTTCCTCAGTACCAGAGCTCAAACTTCCAGGCACATCATGCTCTCCAATTATTGATCCATATCTCTCCCCTGATGGCACGATGCTTGCTTATGTAAAGGATTCTGAGTTACATGTTCTGAATCTCTTATACAATCAAGGAAAACAATTAACATTTGGCGCGAAAGGAAGCTTGTTAGTAAGTTCAAATTCACCATTGTCATCTGAGGGTATAAGTTCAAAAGAAAATTTTGGTTCTAAGTAATTGTTGCAATTGATTTTACACGATTGTTGATGGTTTATTAGAAGATAAAGAAAATTAAAGTTCTATACAACCATAAGGCTTTGTACTGTCAAGTAAGCTCTGTTTATCCTCGATTACGTCCATTCTCTATTATTTAATGTGCATATTATCTAGGTGTTTAGATATATTATTGGGGGACTATCTGCATGTCGAATATGACAGTCGGTATATTGCAAATACTTTTTTACAATCTGACATAACCTTTTCCTGAGTATGACTCTGGGTTTTCATGCATTGCAGACTCGTGGTCTTGCTGAATATATAGCTCAGGTGAGACATCTAAATTCCTATGGAACTTTTCTTTCTACTTCTGATCTTTATAAATTAGCTATTAGCAGAAAATGATGTTTTTCTCTCAGCATAGCTGCAGTTTGTAACTCTACTAGAGAATGGCTTGTTACTCTGGTTATTCAATAAGATTTTGGTGTCTGGTCTCAGGAGGAGATGGATCGAAAGACTGGGTATTGGTGGTCACTTGACAGCAAGTATCTTGCATTCGCACAAGTTGATTCTTCTGAAATACCACTTTTTAGAATTATGCACCAGGGGAAAAGCTCAGTTGGGTCAGATGCACAGGAAGATCATGCTTATCCTTTCACAGGAGCTTCAAATGTCAAAGTACGCCTTGGGGTTGTGTCTGCAGCTGGAGGTCCAATCACATGGATGGATCTTCTGTGCGGAGGGGCAGATCAACCTAACCATGAGGAGGAATACTTAGCTCGAGTGAATTGGATGTATGGAAATATTCTCATAGCTCAGGTTTTGAATAGATCACACACTAAGCTCAAGATTCTTAAGTTTGATATCAAGACAGGTCAAAGAAAAGTTTTATTGGTCGAAGAGCGAGACACATGGGTTAATTTACACGATTGTTTTACACCTCTAGATAGAGGCATGTCAAAATTTTCAGGAGGATTTATCTGGGCTAGTGAAAGAACCGGTTTCAAACATCTATATCTGCATGATGCTAGTGGAAATTGTCTAGGCGCAATAACCCAAGGTGATTGGATGGTTGAGCAAATTGCTGGGTTAATGAGGTGAAGTCTTATATACTTTACAGGAACTCTAGATGGACCCCTAGATCTAACCTATACTGCACAAAACTATATCCAGATGGAAACCCTGCTTTGCAGGCGCCTGTGAGGTTGACCAATGGAAAGGGAAAACATGTGGTTGTGCTCGATCATCGTATGCAGAACTTCATTGATATTCATGATTCTGTTGATTTTCCTCCTAGGATTTCATTATGCTCCTTGATTGATGGAAAGGTAATCATGCCTGTATATGAGCAACCATTGACGATACCGAGATTGAAAAGGCTTCAGCTTGAACCTCCTGAGCTTGTTCAAATACAGGCAGATGATGGGACTGTATTATATGGGGCTTTGTACATGCCTGATGCAAAAACGTGTGGGCCTCCACCCTACAAAACCTTAGTCAATGTCTATGGTGGTCCTGGTGTACAGCTTGTTTGTGATTCGTGGATAAATACAGTTGACATGAAAGCACAGTATCTACGAAGCAGAGGCATTTTAGTATGGAAGGTTTGTAGTTCCTATTTACTTGGGTCTAAATGAACCTTGTCACATATCTCATGTCCAGTTAGATATGCATTTTCCACTTTCCAATTACATACCCGAAAGTTACTCTGCATCTAATTTCTTATTTATTTCACTGTATGCAGTTAGATAACAGGGGAACTAGCCGACGTGGACTAAATTTTGAAGGCACTTTTAAACATAAGTTTGGCTGTATTGATTGCCAGGATCAAGTGACGGGGGTTGAATGGCTCATCAAACAAGGGCTAGCAGAAGCTGGCCATATTGGGGTATACGGTTGGAGCTATGGAGGTTATCTCTCAGCCATGATGTTGGCCAAGTTCCCTGATCTTTTCCAATGTGCTGTCTCTGGTGCCCCTGTTACGTCCTGGGATGGATACGACACATTCTATACAGAAAAATACATGGGATTTCCTACAGAACATACTGCAGCTTATGGGCATAGCTCTGTGATGCACCATGTGCATAAAATGAAAGGCAAATTGTTATTGGTGCATGGCATGATTGATGAAAATGTCCATTTTAGACATACTGCAAGGCTTGTTAATGCACTTGTGGCAGCTGGAAAGCCCTATGAACTGTTGGTTTTCCCAGATGAACGCCACATGCCACGTCGCCATAGGGACCGGATTTATATGGAAGAGCGAATCTGGGAATTCATTCAGAGGAGCTTGTGAGGTAAATGCCTGTCTATATGCCATAGATTGTTGTTGTTCCATTTTGGTGGGTAGGGAAGTTTGTGAAAAAAATTGTTATTTTAATTGGGAGTTGAATCATTTTACCTCATTTTAACATTTTCCACTCTGGAATAACCTACAATTTTCCCATCGCGCATCCATCATCACGTTGTTTTGTAGAATTCGTATGTATTGAGTTGCTTCGTATAGTTTTGTGAAGCTAGAGCTACATAAAGGAAGGATGTAGGCCATCCACAACTAGTGTTGAAAACTTATTTAGCAGTTTACACTTACATGGATGACCATATTTTCCATTTCTGATCTATCCTCGAGGATCTGAACTGAAATGAGTCAGCCCTAGTCTCGGAATTTTGAATATATGGGGACATCAAGTTGATGATCCAGATTTCAAGATGGGATAATCGTGGCTGAAATGCCAAAAAGGTCTCGAACCTTACTGGTTTTTGCGATTAGATCAAGCTGTTAATAGAGACCGAAGCTTGGTCGTTGTTTGGAATTGGTTCTTGTAGGACTTCAACATCAATTTCTGTGGCAGTAGTGAAATACTGAATTTCTCTGCAACTTCCCGAGTCACCCCATTTGTTCTGTCCCCTGCCATAGCCATCACCTTCACCAAATCCAGAGATGGTTACAAGTCCTTATCTTCATGGTGAATCAATCATCCTCCCAGAAGATTGCTCCTGAATAAAACCTTAAAGAAAAGACTGTTAAACAAGAGGCAGTCTTCGGATTTAACTCTAGTTAAAGCATCGTTGCTTCGTGCAATAGATCGGTTTTATAATTTATATAATTAATGCATAATCCAATGAATTCCAACACAATTGCGGATTAATATCATCATCTGCTTAAGAAATAATCGAGCAGATATCTAAATTTTGAATTTAATATGAAATTGATTTGAAATTCGAATGTTATTTTTGTTGAAATTTGTATACTATTTATACTGTATTCTTATTTTTATTCCATGATATTAAAATTCGAAACAAAAGTAAAATGTATATTATTACATATAGCAAAAGTAAAGCTATTGGTCACATAATTTTTTTGTTCAGCACTCTTTTTAGATTTGTCAAAATTAAGAAACTTACAAATTATTAATTTTTTATTAATAATATTGACTCAGTCACATTATTTGTATATTATAAGTTGATGATAATTACTATATGATATTTGATAAAATAGAGTTAAAATTTTAATTTATTATTAAATTAGTAAAATTGAAATGATTAAATTATTTTAAATTTTATTAAATAAAAAGAGTACGTGATAATTAAATTATTTTATTTAAAATTTCAGTTGACAGTGTTTGTAGTTTGAACTCAATTTTAACCCGAGGAACGGGTTTCGTTATGTCACGATGATGACGTGGCGCACAATCATTGGTCCTGGTCACATAGTATTATTTAGGTATTGTCTGCACGGGATGCTGACCTGTGAGAAATATCTTGGTGCCCAAGTTTTAAAATACTCTCATCAAAATCTGACGGACTAAGACGCGTCACCCTTTCCCCCGTTAATTAATTTAACTGCGTCAGTCATGTCCGGACATTTCGTTAAAAAGTTTGAAGTACAAATGTCGAAATTACTGGAATAGCCTCCGGGGTTTCTGGTAAAAATGGAATTCCAGAACCTTCTATGCTAATAAAATATAATATTACCATTTTTTATCTCTTAATTAAATAATATGCAAAATAATTGCATAATTGAATTAATTTTTAGTTATTAAATAATTCAATCTAAATTTTAAACTTATATAATAGAAATAAAATTTTGATTTAATATAGTAAGAATATAATGAAAATATTACTATCTTCTCTAGTGAATTTAATATCTAATTTAAAATAAAGATTTTTATTTTTTATTAACTGATTAAATTTAGACATATTATTATGAGAGTAAAAATATGAATTTAGTTAATTTAATTATTTTAAGAATTAAATAAAAATAATATTATCTTAATATAATTTAACAATAAAAATATTAGAATGGTGTATTGAATTTGAAATACTTACCGCCTAAATTTTTAATTTACTTAAAAATATTGAACCTTCCGTTTTCCCATTAACTCCGTTGCAAACGTTGTAAACTTCCGTCAAATGCCATTTTCTTCGACGCTATAAATAAACAGCCCCGTAAATTGTGCAAACTGAAGCTCTCTTTGTTCAGTCTGGGTGTGTCTTTTTCTCCCGAAGGAGGGAGTTAAAATTTTCTCGAGAAAAGGTAAGAGAAAATTCCGGAGTGCTTGAAAACTTGGCAGGAAAGTTACGGAGAGAAACTTACATAAAATGACGAATCATTGCCAAGTCCATCTTTGTTTGCATTTCACGTGAGCTCAAGGTACTGATTTATAATTTGCTTTAAAGATCTCTTTTCTAAGTTTTCTCCGTTGCGGATTTTTTTTCGTTCTTTTACTTTCGACATACTATAATCCCTGCTTCAATTTGATGAATCTTTTTTGCTTGAAACAATCTAATGGGAGAGCAGATCAATCATTTCGACTAAGATAGTTCGTTGGATTAGATTGATTTGGTTAAAGGTGAATTGTGTTCTGTCGATTTATTTCTCTGATTCTGTAGAAATATCTCATTTTATAGATTATTTGTTTGATCAAAGAGAAACCTTAAAAACTCTAAGCAGAACTTATAGTTGAGTTTGGTCTAGTTCAGTTCAGTTGTGTTGCAAATAGGAACTTATTGGAATCATTTTCTCGTTTGAACGGAAAATCTAGTTTTTCATCGTTTGGAAAGAGCTTGGAGCT